CATGGAAACACACAGCCCTACATGCCCTGAACTGATCCCGTTGTTTACCTGGTTGAGGATAAAACGTAAATTATGAAACACGTGGAAGAGGAGGACGGAATTTAGGCACTTGACTGCGGTGTTTAATGGCATAAATGAGAATCAAACACTCCCCACACGAACAGACCCACCATTAAAACTACAACATCTATGACAAACGCAATAAGATAAATAAATAAAGGACTCACAGGTCGTCTTTCCCCAGATGCAACGTCTGCTGCTGCACTCTCGTCCGCCTCCACCTCGTTCCCCTAATAAACATTAATATTAGAAATAGTGGACAAATAACCAAACAAACATGTTTCAAACATTGCTCAAACTATTTTAAACCTTCTCCCAAAACGCTACAAATGAGCTTGCATTAGTAGCAGACAGTTAACTCGAGATTTATTTAATTAACAACTCATGACTTACCCTAGTTGTGTCTTCCCTCATGGTCAATGAAGTTTGTTTAGCATTTTACTGTGAATAAAACTCAAAATGTTTTCTAACGGGTGACATTAATGGAAGAATATATGAATGTAACGTTACTTTTGCATTAAAACGCGTCCTCGCGACTGACAGCGTTAATTATCTCCCAGTTTGACGCACCTGTGTAAAGCCGGCCGCGAGGGATACAGAAACGTCCGGAAATGAGATTTTCAAAATAAATGGCTTTACTTGCGCATGCTCAGTCGCGCTCCGGCCCTTTATTTCTGGTTGGAGATGCTGTGATTAAAAGTTACCTATTTAGAGCTTGAAGTTGCAGTTAAGTTGTATGTTTTTCATATTTATCCCTTTTATTAACCATAACATTTACTAATCCGTAAGGCAGTCAGCATGTAGTTGCATTTTTTTTATTTATTGAGTGATCTGCAGAGCAGTGATTTACAAAATAACTTCAGAATTAACATGACTAAAACTAGGTCTAGGGGTAATTTCCTAAAAACTATTTATTATGAAACCAGTGAAGAATCTGCAACCACAACTGTTTCTGAGGTTATTTATGTACTGTACAGTGAGGATTTTCAGCCCTTTACCATAGGCCTAAATATGGGACCTGGATGTGAGAAGATTATTATTAACAATTGTTCTATTCAACTATACTTTAAACGATCTTTATTTCTTTAAAATGACACAATATAGCACTAGTATTTTGAAGGCAAATTCGCATGACAGCGTTGGCAGGTTAACAGTTGTTCCACCCACTCTCCATCTCAATGCACACCGACCGGTTGTCCTCGCCCAGCTCAACCGGGTGGTGTGGTCCAGGTGTGTTGACGTGCTGAAGCTCTGTGCTGACAGAAACTCTGCAGTGTTTTGATTTCTGACCAACACCTACCTCACACATACAAAAAAGTGAAACAAATAATAAACAAACACAGACAGAGAAACTAGAATTAGATTGTTCTTTTCATTACCAGCAATTCAGTCTTTAAACGTCTTGTCTCCATTGAACTGGCTACATCCACCTCACCACATTCAACATTAAGGCAACCTTTCCAGTTTATCTCTAGAATTATGTTTTCGTAATAGGCCTTGATATTCAAAATGCATAAACTATATATTATCAGCCCAACCCAGTTTGCAGGCCAGCAGCATTTTTCTAGTTTTTTGTTTCTACACCCTTGTGGAATAAATACATTCAATGATTCTGTCAACTGATCCTTGTTTTTCAAGGTTTTCTCACGTAAGATCGATTGAATCTTAAAATTTTGTCATAACAGAATTATGGTTGTTCAAGTAGGGATTATTATGAGGCAATGTAAAAAAAACTTCTAAACTAAATCTTGCTGGAACAACAAATCATCCCGAAATCAGGTTTATCCTGGTCACACCAGAGGTGGGGCCTTAGGGTGGATTAAGAGCATCTGATGTAAAGCATTTTAAGACCAAGCAGTTATATAAGTGGTAGGGAT